AACCCACACCATCTGGCCATCTGGAATTTAAGCTGACATGAATTGTAAATATAACATAATAATCTAACATTACTTTTAAGGTCAGTATTGTATGCATTCACGTGAAAGGCACAGAGCTTTTCATACATCGTAAAACGAGGTGGATAATAATATTGTGTATATTCTCTGACACACTAATATATAAATTCAAAGATGTTTTCAAACATAAATACAGGTCTACAAATAAGTGTAAGACACTGTCTTTATTTTCTGTGGCTTGTATGTTTGATAAGGTTGTTAGGAAAAAGCATATTGTAAATGTTACTATACTGTTGGACAACATATTTATCTTGTATCTTATATTTTATAATTGTCAACTTAAGGTGTGTACACTGTACTTGGCAGGCTTCAGTAATTTCCCTCCAGAAGTTGTTAATTTTCACCAGGGTTGGATATTTTCTTCTAGGGTATGAGAATTCTCCACACGAATTATGAATCTCCCACTAATTCTAACTTTCTAAGACTAATATAACTAATACTAACACTAACACGTTTACTATTAAAAATTGTCATTTTGAAGTTACGGAAGTGGAATAATTAGAGCTTTAGAATTTAAAATGCATATATTGTGATGCACGAACGTTGTAAAGGGCCACCTAGTAATCTCTTAGATATGACACCGGGTAATCTTTTAGAGATGACACGCAGCACACATTATTGTATATTCATCAGTACTTTTATTAGTGGACACAAATAAATACAACATGTATGCGACTATTTTTAATTTTAGTTTGTATTGCTGAATATAAATAAATATTTAATTTACTCTAAAAGGGCTACAGGAGGCCTAATATATAATATTGATGTAATTCTTTAATTATTTAAATTAAAATGACGTTATTAAACGGCATCACCTTCGTGAGTACTTTTGTAGAATGAATACCTAGTTTGTGTTTCTTGTAGGCGATCGTTGCGCAGGTGGGATATCATAGCCAGCGAGGTATATCCGAGGGCCAAGTGAGAAATAATTTAGATCAGAGATAAGATTAAAATGTGTCACCACGGCAAAAACAAAATGAGAATACACCAGAGCCTGAAATAGATCAGTTTCTTAATTCTTCAGATACTCTTGATAAAAAATAAAGATTATAAAAAAGTTAAAAAACAAGAATAAAATATAATTGATCATCCATACTTACATAAACAAATTAAATCATTGATATTAACCTATTTTTTATGACTTGCAATCTTTATAACGTAAGGCAAAATGTCTTCATTATTAATAGTAAACTCTAATAGTGAATTTCAGGTAAACAAACGTATACTACAATACACTGAATACTCATTGATTTGCATTCGGTAAATCTAATCATCCTAATAATATTTGTGTCTGAAATTTTACATACGCCTAATTTGAAGAAATGTGATATCCGATATTAAATACTTGATCGATATAAACACATAATACTTAACTGATATTAAAAGCATAATTTCCATTATTTGGCCTATAATATTACTGGCAGTCGTGGTTGTGGCGCAACGCAACACGTATTCTCATTTTAGGGCATGCATGCGGAGAGGAGCTAGATGACGGTCAGCGAGTCTATGGCAAATAATGCGATACAGGTTTAGATTTACAGTGCAAAATCACACAAAGCGATTTATAAACTCAATGATATCTGATACGGTACAAATTATCAAATCAAATTTCATTCAACAAAAAAGAAAATTTATATGCCTAAGTTTAATCTAATAAATACAGGTACACATCTAAACAGACTTGACCGGTTAATATTTTTTATATGCGTATTGCAATAGTCGGAAAGATATTTTCAGATAAAAGGATGTTTCTCAATTAAGTTTTACTTAATTAGTTGTAATTTGATACTAACTCATACTTGTACACAAAACACTGGTACTTTATGCTGATTTAATGCAATATTTAGTATTTAGCTTCGGAGTCCTACGAACCTCATCTATCATCTGAAGGCAGACGCACAAATTATGGCTATACGGCAAATTTTAATCGTAATCGACATATGGCTTTTTATTACGGTATATGGTCAGATAATATCGCCAGACAGTAAGTATCTATATTTTTATGTGTTAATAATAATATAAATATTTAATTTATTCATTTATTTTTCATTTATTTATCAAAATTTATTATTCGTTATAGTACAAACCGTTATTTTCTTGTGTATAGGCATCGTTTAATGAAAGGAACGATTTACACATTGAAATAATGTTTAATACGATATACACTCTCAGATCTTGCTTTTAGCAATAGTAATTATGTAATTCGAATCATACACTCCGAGAATATTACTTTAAACAAATGAATTAGCTTTTAGGTTGTAAATCAACAAAAACTATATTATCACCTTGCTACTAAGTATAATAATAGACCATTTAAAAAAAAGGGATTTTAATTTCATTTCATGTTTAAAAAAAAAATCGAAATACAAATGTTTGCTGTCCATTATGTTTGTCGTAAAGATCTTTCTTAAATATATCTTATTTTAAATACCCGCTCAAGTTGTATTGTTTCTTCTTCGGAATTTATATTTAATACGCTTGGCAAAACATTTTCAAGTTTTAATGCATTTTAATGGATTTCATTCTTTGAGGAAAATTCATTATCGTCGATAAACTAGTTATACTCCTACACTTTTGTAGTATATACTTTCGGAGGTCGAATTTACCCACCAGAACCAGAACTAATGTGTATTAGCTTTAAGCTGGCATGCTGCACTACGGCTCAATTTTACAATCTGGCTTTAATTAACATTATTGAGTAGATATTCCAATTTATCTACATATACTTGATGAAACATTTTAAAACCCAACGATATAAATAATCAATTTATGTAAGACACTCCAAAATATTAAAAAATGTTACCCAGGCCCTCTAATTTCCTTTTTTTGCATGATGTGATAAAATTATTAAACGTTTCACCTAACAAAAGTAATGAGTAACAATAATGAATAACAACAATAAAAAATAAATATATAATGTTAATAAATAAATAATTTGTAAATGCAGAATTTTATTTACTATTTTTGTTCAAATAATTGTTAAATATATATTTCCTTAGTCGTATTTCCTTACTTACCTTTTACTCTTTTTTCCATTTCTATTTTCCCTTTTTCTTTTATTTTCTTTCATACTTACGACCCGTCTCTCTTTTTCTTTATTTCCCTGTAATTTCTTTCGTTACATTTTCTTCCCCTACCCCCTTTTCCTCCTTTCATTTTTCTACCTCTTTTCATGTTTTCTCTTTCCTCTACCTTTTCTTACATTATATTTTTCTTTTCTTTCACTTTGACACTTCTTATTCTTTCCTTTCTCTTTCGTTTTCTTTCATTCCTTTTCTATAAACTTTCGTTTTCTTTCTTCTTATTTCATTACCTTTCAGCTTAGTAATTAAATTTCTTTTTTTCTTTCGTGGAAGTCACTCACCTCTATTGTCAATTTTTTCATTGTTTTCGTTCATTTTTTATCTGTAATTAATACTACATTTCAAGTAAAATAAAATTAACTAATATATACATGTAATACTTTTGTCAAAATTAAGGCCTTTTTTTACAAAGTATGGTTTTTCATATAAAAACAAAAGTAAAATAAAAAGAAGTGGAAGGTCATTTTAAATTGTGTAATTATTGAGTAAATACAAAAATAATAATAATTATTATTATAATTAGTATTATTATTACTGTTATTATTATTATCATTATTATTATTATTATTAATATTATTATTATCACTATTATTTATTATCATTATTATTATTATAATTATTAGCAGGCCTTATTATAATCGGCTTTTACTTCTCATTGGCTTTATATTGAGCTCGGTAATTTAAACTTCAGTTCAACTTATTTTCTTACAGTACCGTACATTTTTCATATGCTATACTTTTCTTTGCCATTGTTTTAACGTAGATCAGACCAGACTTTTCTTCAACGAAATAGAAACTCCGTATAAGGGACACCTAGAAGCAATTGTAGACACTGACGTAGGACCGATGTGGACGCCTATTTGTTTTGGTCACATTGGAGAAAAAGAAGCCAAAGTTGCATGCAAAAGTTTTGGCTTTCTTGATTTCGATACATTTTTTACAAACGAACGATTGGAAACTGTCAACTACAAAGTAATGTATGATTGCAGAGGTTACGAATCCGCTCTTAGCAAATGTATTGTAGTAACTGAGCGAATTGTTCATTGGTGCAATGATACGGAGTTGATTTGCACAGCTATCCCACTTGGTATGTATACCCTAGGCTGAAAAATAATAATTATGTTTCGGTTTCAAAATAGACAAATAGAACATTCAAACAACCCTTAATCATTTTCCAACTATATGTTGTGTAAATATAATAGTAGAATAAACTCTTATGGTAGTTCTTATTTCATTATAGTAATTATGTTTTACCCTACCTGACGTGTTGTCGTACTAGTACGTTCCTAACTAGCAAAAAAAACAAACCTTGCAAGTGTTCATGGCGCTTGATAAGTGGACTAATAGCTCGATCAATAACTTTCTACGCCCAAAGGGTCCTTTGGGCATAACCCAGTGACCCGGTACTAGTAACTCTCGTCGTCCACCTCAGCAGATGTCTCTACCAGTACACAGGGGTAACCCCCGTACTCGTTCCGAATGGCGTACTGGGTTCTTTATAGTACACATGAGCCATTGTGGACACCGGGCCTGGCTTATAGGTAGGGTCGTCAATCAGTAAATGAATTGCTTATTTTATACTAGGGTTAATACATTCAATTAAAATATAGAGAGAAAAGTATTTTCTATTGGTAATCCAGTGAATAATTATAATTGGCACAATTAATTTTCGAAAAACCCGAATTGTTCTATTTATTTGTGCCTCATATAGAGTTTATGACCAATTAAATTAATTAAAATGGGCAATGTTTCGTCGGGCGAGCACACTTATGATAACAATTATAGAAACGTGTGTATTATTATTTTATTTATTTATTTATTTATTGCTGTAAAGTTATTAGCAAAATGTAAACATTTTGTAAATAATATAGTAATTGTTCAATTTGACATTTCTCATGGTACATTTTAAATAAGCAAGTTTATTTTAAAATTGATTTTAAATGTATTTTTGGGCTCAATACATCTATATATCCGGCGTACAGCTTAAGAAACACAGGCAAACAAGCTAAAGTTTAATAGATCCTTGTGCTTACCGTGCACGGTAGCGATATAAAAGGAAAATATAAACCACAGTTAAATTCTTGCTGATGTAGACGTATCATTTCATGTTGCCATTACTGTATAGTTTATACTTATGTACTGTGTGAACTTTCACTTTCGCCTTATCTAGATTCAGACTACTTGCGTATTAACCCGAAAGACGAAGTACACAAAGGTCGGCTTCAGATTAATTACAACGGAAATTGGGGACCAGTTTACAACGAACACTGGAACTCTGTGGATTCCAGAGTAGCGTGTCGCCAGCTAGGTTTTATAGGAGTAATCCATCATAACCAACCAACGACTGAAAGAAATTATTCCACTGTTCCTATTGCTGATGACTTTAGTTGCAATGGTCAAGAAAAATTCCTTCACAAGTGTGGCCATGGTGACTGGCTAAAGTCAGTTGGTAACAGCTCGAGCGATGTTTTCTTAACATGCATTCCCATATATGAATGTATGTATATTGTTAAACCCCAATTTATTAATTAGAGTAATCAATTCAATCAATCAATACCGCCTCCATTCGTGACTAGCACATTTCGATTGAACGAAATATTACTTAGTAGAGGCATTGAAATAGTTAACTATTTTTTCTAAACATGTTCTTTCAGGGGTTCCGTAGCTCCATAATGTTCAATTAAAAACAAGAATAATAAAACTTAGTATTTTTATCACTTACTTTGTAAAATGTTTAGTTAAATTATTAGTTTTTAAAACTGAAACAACGAAATAATTCGTTTATTTAAACAGTTTTATTTTTAGAGGGTTTTTTTCTCTTGATTTTACCACAAACAGTACTGTATTACCTTTAAACGAACACTAATGTGTTACTAATTAATAGGCTACTTTAAAACTTGAATAATATGCCTATGATTCACTACCACTAATGATTACAGAGCCAAACCAAGGCAATATATGTTTTTATATATATATATATATATATATAATGCAAACAATTTTAGCTCTTTGCTATCTTTCGTATTACCGGATTAAATTTAATTATACTTATATATTATTTTTTAATATTCGGAAATACATTATATATTTGAACAGGGAATAATAACATCACATTCCGTCTTGTTGATAACGGAGGTTATCCGTTTCAAGGTCGCCTAGAGATTAAGTACAATACCGCAGACAAATGGGGGAGCGTCTGCAACAACGACGTTAGCATTGAGACAGGACATTTCATCTGTACTCAGCTAGGCTTCATCCAAGGAGCAGTGAACATAACAAACGATGCAATTTTCGGCGCTGGTACTGGAGATATTGTGCTTAGCAACTTGCACTGTGCCATACCTGAGGGAAATATTACAAATTGTGAATATGCGCAGCAAGTGAGTAAATACTGCGACCACTCAACAGATTTGTCAATTACGTGCGTACCATTCACAGAAGGTAAAACTAGAAATGGTAGAATTGATGATAATGATAGTAATAGTAATAAAATAACAAAAATAATTAATGATAATAAATAATTATAATAATTGATAATAATAATAATTATAATAATGATTAAGATGATCGTGGTAATAAGGATAAGTTTATTTATAATGAGAATAAGTATAATTTTCATATATTTTTATCAGAACCTGAGTAAATTAAAGTGTGACATAAACTTACGCCCACGCTATCTTCACGTTAGCAACATGATTTATCAGGCTAAGAGAGCTGGTCGGTAAGATGTTTAGATTGATAATAATTTTAAATAAGTGTCACGTAATCTGATGAATGAGTTCGTTTCTGAAACACTTTTTGTTTCAATTTTCACTTTTGCTGCAGAGGCCAAGCCGCAAATGACGATCAAACTTACGGGAAGCGAAACACGTTACGAAGGTTTGGTTCGCCTGAGCTACTCGCACGGATCTGAGTTTGGAACAATATGTAGCAATGGGTTTAATCTTGTTGTGGCTAATGTGATCTGCAGAGAACTCAACTTTTACCAAGGGGTATATTCATTTTCGGTCGGCGAATATGACGTGGATGAGAAAATTATAATAATGCTGAATAATATCAGCTGCACCGGTAATGAATCGAGACTCATCGACTGCAAACATGACTTCGTGGATGGCTGTACCCATGACCAAGATGTTAGTGTCGTCTGCATCCCGATTACTGAAGGTAAAATATGGCATTGACTGAAAAATATTGCTCATTAAATATTTGTATTCTATTACCACCCAGTTTGAATGCGTGCTATGGAATGTATGCTATAATGAGAAATAGTTCAAGTTTGTTTATGAATAGTTCATTCTTTAACAACAAAATGTAATACTTCAATTACTTACTTTCTATATCAAATTACTGATAATTTGATGCATAGTAATAATGGGTGCAAGTGTAAACAGTATAAAGAAGATGAACGCGATTAAAACTTCTCTACTACCTGGGGAGTATCCTTAGTCGTTCGCTACTTCTTTCTCTGATATTAATAATAAAATGATCGTGCTGATAAGGATAGGTTTATTTATAATGAGAATAAGTATAATTTTCATATATTTTTTATCAGTACATGAGTAAATTAAAGTGTGACATTAGCTTACGCCCAAGCTATCGTTATATTAGTAACATGATTTATCAGGCTAAGTGAGCTGGTCGGTAAGATTTTGAGATTGATAATAATAATTTTAGATGAGTGTCACGTAATCTGATGACGGTACCGTTCGTTTCTGAAACACGTTTTCTTTAAATATTTACTTTTGCTGCAGAGGCCAAGCCGCAAATGACGATTAAACTTACGGGAAGCGAAAAACGTTACGAAGGTTTGGTTCGCCTGAGCTACTCGGACGGATCTGAGTTTGGAACAATATGTAGCAATGGGTTTAATCTTGTTGTGGCTAATGTGATCTGCGGAGAACTCAACTTTTACCAAGGGGCATATTCATTTTCAGTCGGCGAATATGACGTGGATGAGAAAATTATAATAATGCTGAATAATATCAGCTGCACCGGTAAAGAATCGAGACTCATCGACTGCAAACATGACTTCGTGGATGGCTGTACCCATGCACAAGATGTTAGTGTCGTCTGCATCCCGATTACTGAAGGTAAAATATGGCATTGATTGAAAAATATTGCTCATTAAATATTTGTATTCTATTACCACCCAGTTTGAATGCGTACTAGGGAATATATGCTATAGGTGTAAATAGTTGAAGTTTGTTTATGAATAGTTCATTCTTTAACAACAAAATTTAATACTTCAATTACTTACTTTCTATATCAAATTACTAATAATTTTATGCATAGTAATAATGGGTGCAAGTGTAAACAGTATTAAGAAGATGAACGCGATTAAAACCTCAGGCGCTATGTCACGAAACATTGGTTTAAGCTAATGTGTATCAATCAATCAATCATTCGAAATAACTTATTCAGCTCCAAAATCCATTACATGAAGTAATCTTCAGTGGCGCTGAATGACGATTGTATAATTTCAGAGTGCACAAAATAGATTATCTCATTGTTGAATAAGTTTAAATGTTCTTTTCTTTAATAATAAAAACACTAGGCCTAATTATAATAATAAATACATAATAATAATAATAATAATAATAATAATAATAATAATAATAATAATAATAGTAATAATAAGTTCAGAAAATACTGCGACGATAGTGAGATTCGAACTAAAGTTGCAATGGTAATAGTGAGGCACATCGATATTCATAACCATTGCGCGCTATATGAGCCGACCTTAGACCAGTACACTTCCTTTTATAGCTTCCAGAGACTGCAAGCAACAATTGTTCATGCATATCACGGTAATTTTGGCAACTGCTTTAAGCGCATTAGAAAACGCAAAGCGACGTTGGCCCAACGTTGGTAAACGTTGGCAAGCGTCGGTAAGCGTCGGGGTCGGATATCTGACGTTGGTACGACGTTCGTGTTTGGTTGCAAAATTTGGTCGGAGAGGTAACGTCAAACCAACATTGGAATTTCACGTTGGCCCAACGTATGTATATATTTGTCGATTTTCCGATGTCGTCCCAACGTCGGTAAGCTGTCGTAAATATTCAGTATGACTACGGACGTTGGTACAACGTCACGATTTGTTACTGGCCCGACGTCGGCAAACTACTAAAAAGATGGTTGGGTACTACCGTTGGCCCAACGTTGGCTAGAGGTTGTAAATATTAGATGTGATTGTAGACGTTGTTGGCCCGACGTCGGTAAACGTTTGAAATGGTGGTTGGTTAAAACCGTTGGCCCGACGTTGGTTAGAGGTTGTAAATACTAAGATGTGATAACAGACGTTGTCGCAACGCCAGAGTACTTTGTTGGCCCGACGTCGGTAAACGTTAGTGAAGGTTGGTTACAACCGTTGGGCCGACGTTGGTTAGAGGATGTAGATATTAGATGTAATTAAAGACGTTGTCGCAACGTCATAGTACTTTGTTGGCTCGACGTTGGTAAACGTTTGAAATAGACGTTGGTTACCACCGTTGGGCCGACGTTGGCCAGAGGTTGTAAATATTAAATGTGATTACAGACCTTGTCTCAACGTCACAGAACGCTGTTGGCCCGACGTCGGTAACAACGTCTATAATCATACATATTTACAAAGAAACGTCGGCCCAACGGTGGTACCAAACATCTATTTCAAACGTTTACCGATGTCGGGCCAACAAGGTACTTTGACGTTGCGACAACGTCTATAAATATATATATATTATGGAGGTTGGTTACAACCGTTTGGCCCACGTTGGTTAGAGGTTGTAAATATTAGATGTGATTATAGACGTGGTCGCAACGTCACATCCCGATTACTGAAGGTAAAATATGGCATTGACTGAAAAATATTGCTTTTTAAATATTTGTATTCTATTACCACCCAGTTTGACTTTTTCCCTTAAATTACTTTAATTGGTCCTCACATGACACCCCACCCTAGATTGACACTATGTATTAGGAGGCACATCCTTGATATATGGTCAATGCTTCGACAAGCATGAAAATGACTGCTGGGCAGATAAACCCAGTGCAAAAATGATAGGGAAAAGAATGCAAGAAAAAATAGAAAAAAAATCATAACAAAACAGTAGCTTTTCCAGTAGTATTAACAATGATGATGATGGTGATGATGATGATGATGATGATGATGATGATGATGATGATGATGATGATGATGATGATGATGGTGATGATGATGATGATGATGATACCCAAATATTTATAAGGCGCCAATCTCAAAGTAAATGATCAAATGCAAAAGCGTTATTACCCCTTGTCATTGGATACTGTAATATACAATGGCAGACCAGCACAAGTGCAAACTTCTCTGCTCCCTGGGGAGTATCCCTAGTCGTTCGGACGAAACTAACACATTCAATGCCACAACATCCTACCAAGGTACCCATTTATACTCCTGGGTAGAGAGAGATAAACGTAGATAGATTATTCTTATAGAATTTACCTTTATATTTACTATACGTATTCTTATAGTAATAACCTTTACAATTACTATACGTATTCTTATATCATTTACCTTTATAATTACTATAAGTATTTTTTGTATCATTTAGATTCATTTGTCACTTTCCTGTTTGGGAAATTTGGTCTTTACGAGGGAATGGTTTCTGTATATGACGGCGAAGACTTCAACCAGGCTTGTCCAGATCACTGGGGTCAGTCTGAATCAGAGGTAGTTTGCAATGAGCTAGACCACAAGGCTGTTCTCTACTACGACATAAAACCCCAACAGGATCTAATGATAACCTACAAAAACCCAATCTTCAACTTCAAATGCAATGGAACGGAGAATTCATTACTGAATTGTGTAATTGTACGTAATAATAGAACCAGCTTATGTAGCTCACGTGACTATGCCGTTCGTGTGGAGTGTATACGTTATCTGCCCGACTTCTTCAACACAAGTGCAAATACAAGTGAACTATTATATAATGTTGACTATTTCTTGACGAAAGTTGAAGACGCGGGAAATCTTTCATCAGCAAGCTTTGGTTATTTTGGTACGACAGTTTTTTAAAAATGTTGTTTTAATTTCAATCTCCAAATGCACCATCATACAAGATACCCAACTGACCTAAAAATAAACACTATAGATACAGATATTGATATTAATTATTATTATTATTATTATTATTATTATTATTTAATGAATATTATACTTTTCCAGTTATTGATTCGCCTACCATAAACGCCACCAACCAACTTGAGCTGCTGAATTCGGAACCTTTTACCTACTCGTTTTACGCTCATCATAACGAATTTTCAGGTAGGCCTATTATGTATTTACAGTGTATGATGGCGATTTCCTTAGTTTTATTGTTTTATTTTTTTTTCTATTTGAACTTTATTTAATGAAGAAATTATTAGAGAGCTGATATTAAACCTTTTCAACAAATATTCTGTACAGTAATTCACAGAGAGACATATGTAATATAAACCCATTATTAATTGTTATTATCATAAATTGCTTTAAAAAAACTCCTTTTTAAAAAGTAAAACAAAGTGTACTTATTTTTTGGTATATTGTTAGTTATGTTATTGTTTTTTTTTTCTTTAAGTAAAGTGTTTAATTTTGAAGTAAATGTTTTTGTTGCAGTTTTTTAATTTAAAAAACTGATGATTTTTTAATCAAAGAAAATAATGTTGTAATTACTAATAATATCCTACACAGTCCAAAGAATTACCCCTACGGTATTTCTTCTCATTTGTAATTTATTAAAATATCACGTAAGTATTACTTTAAGGTTTAAGAGGTAATAATAATAATTATTAATATTAAAAATGATACTAATCCCTATAATACTGGTGATTGTACCAATAGTAAAATATAAATTATGAAGTATAACAATATTAATTATTTTATGTTTATGGTAACGCTTTGACATCCAAAAACCAATTCAAACTACAAGATGGTAAATTTATTTGTATTTATTAACTGAAATAGAGTACTTGTCTTCGTCATCATACTTGATGTCTTCTGATCTTGCAAAAATCAATGCAACTGGCAGACTGCCATTTCTGGACGAAAGGTAAGCCATTAAACATTGAATTAAAATTTCATTTTTATATAAAGACAACTTGCATTGAAGATGTATGGCTCACACCATAAGTTTACTTATACATAACCGCAAAATCATACACTAAAATGCTTTAAACCTTATAATATCAAAACTGTCAGTGCAAGTCACAGATCTGCTGTGTTAGATCTTAATATAAGTACACAATTGTTTGCATCCAGTGGTTGAACCACCGTGAGCACGACGTGATCGCAGGCACGTCATGTCGAACAGCCTTCTATAGCGTAACTAACTTGATTTCTTTATGTCTTTCATCATAGAAATTTCATAACTAGCTCTATAAAAGAGTCCAGTTACACCTCCATGAATAAAATACGCTATCTTCCATTTCGTTGTGAAATGTAACTGCGATACGTTATTCCAATTTAACAGAGTACGCTATAAGCAGGTTGACCATCGCCTAGATCGAAAGAAAAACACGATGTGAAAAAGTTACATCGTGCTGCTAACAGGATTTCTCCTGCAGTTGTTGCAATGCTCCATCATATCGGAAAACTCCCTCTACGGAAGCTGCATTGTATTTCGGAGAGGTTGAAATTAAATAGAAAAGAAACAATGTTATGATATATTTAATTTCATAAGGAGTCTAGATCTACGGTTGATATCACTTATTGTTCTACTTATTAATTTAACGATGCTTACATATATTTTTTCAGCGGCACTCTTCGAAACATTATGAAAGTGTGTTTACAAAATTTGCACAAATAAAATATTATAATAATACATTGAGGTTTAAATGATCAGCTAACGATTTACATACTATAATATTAGTATAATTAGTATATCCACTTTGAATAATTGGTGTCGTGTATGATGTGTATGTGTCAATGCTAGCTATTAATGTATACTATTGTATAATATATCTATTGATATTAGAATTCAGTATATTTTTGTTTGTTTTTGTTCTAGCTCAAACGTACACCTTTATGCATTCGGTGGAGTATTTGGTTTGAATGTATATACACCACTTGGGGAGAATGTAAATGCAAAGGCTAGCTTTATGTATACAGCAAATCTGGTAATTATGAATTGTCATGATGATGATTGTTATTATTAAGTTATAATAATAATAATAATAATAATAATAATAATAATAATAATAATAATAATTATTATTATTATATTATTATTATTATTAATGCTATTATAGCTTTCAACTATATTTTAAAAGTTTACTTTATGATAACGTTATAATAACTCTCCAGTTTGGTGTACAAAAGGGTTTCTTTTATGTAGAACCATAGATTACATTTAGAATTTTGCACTAAATTTCAAATCAAATAACATTGCAACGTTGCTGCAAAGATGTGATTAAATTATTTTCTGACATACCTAACGACTTCGCAAACACTATAATAACGTTTTGTGTTTTCCGGGATATTTCAATTGTTATTGTTGTCATTAGGCATATAATATTATGTATACACCTATCATACGTCTATATAATTTCCTTCCTTTATTCATTTATAAAATACTTTGTTTCCATAATACAAAATTAAATACAGTACTGAACATTTCAACTACCATGATATAAAGTAAAAATAATAATGATGATTAACGATAATATAAATAATAATGATAGTATTATTATTATTATTATTATTATTATTATTATTATTATTATTTAATAATATTCATAATACTAGTAGTACTATTGACATTACAAGTCTCCTTCAATTTAAAACCATTTTTGGGACAACGGTTTTCATGGTCTTAGCAGCTTGGTCTCAAATTAGAATAATAAAGATAAAAGGCTTTTGTGAATTTGGACTAAGGAAAATTGGTCATCAATTGGAGGTGATCTTTAATTAAAGGGAGACCTATATCTTTATTATACTGTACTAATATGTCTATCACTTCGATATACTGTCCTTCTACGAATATTTACAATTACACATTTAAGGCGTGTGATACTAACGGACAGTATATTATGAGATTCGATTTCTTATTACTTTGTACCACCTCGAACATTTTGATTTTTTATATACATGTTTTTTGTAGTCAGTTCCTTTTGAGATCGACGTACCACTAGAATCATCAATTGATCTGATATGTACATATTTTGACCCTGTCATGGAGTAAGTTTCTTCTATTTGTTTCGATCTGAATTCCATGAGTAAAGCAAATATACTAGACCTATATGAGCCTTAAGTATAAATAGTTAATGTGGTACAAAGTTGTAAATTTACGTCATTGGAAGAGACAATAAAAAGTAGAATAACATTATATAGGAAGGTACTCATGCATACTGCACAACGATTTTAAAACTCTCATTTAGCTTGTTAAAACATGAAGATATTAATTATATTCTTCTTGAGAATATCGAAGAATAAGATTTATATATTTTACATATATTATGATTTATTTGATGTAAATGGAAGAGTTTTCCATGCTACACAACAGATGCAAAAATTAGTTTTTTCTTAATTTTTTAGACCTTTCAATTGGCTGGTATAAAAATGTTGGTTGTTTAATTAATTGAAATATATTTTGGATTCTTTCCAACAATCACTTGAATGTTTGTTTTAAATATTTATTGGTATTTTTTTAGACTTTAACACACACAGTATTACGTAATTGTTTCACTGTAAATTTCTTCTACCATCTACAATACGCATTAATTATTTCTAACCGTCCACGTACGTGACATTACTTTCGATGATTTTTCTGACAGATATTGGTCATCGGCGGGTATAATAACCACAGTTTTACCGAATGACACAATTAAGTGTGAAAGTGAGCATACTACAAGTTTTTCAATAATGATGAAAGTTACCATACATGAACAGGTATGCAACAAGTTATATATAGTGTCACTACTACTCATCAAAGTCGATTGTAACATTGTCGTAACTTTTTCGCTGTCATCACACAAGATTCTGTTGAATCCTTTTTGTTATGTGACCGCTCTGTGTGAGATAGACACATGACGGCAGATCAGATGGGAGGTAGCATCCTTTGTCCCTGTTGAAGCTTTGTTTTTTTGGTCCGCACAAGGCGCTGACCCTTGAGCCTCACTGCTGTTTTTGTTCTTGTTCTTGTTCTTGTTACCAAAACTTTAAAAGCGTCCAGCGTCACCAGTTTTGAACGGACGTGCGTGCAAGAAATTTTGTACACATAAACTAGAGGTGATGTCCAACAAACGTTCATCGCCTTTTTTAAAGTTTAGACCCCATGCTTTCCCCTACACTTACAAAACAAAACAGGATTTTCAGTAAGGGTTGTACATTACTGCCATTACCACTAATAGGGTACGTCGCATGGATGGCGCGGTCGGTTAAGGATGTGTTCTAAAGAACTTAAGGTTGTGAGTTAAAATCTCGTCTTAGCAATCCATTTTTTTTCCACAATTCTTAAGAAATTTATTTATTTTTTAAATTCTAAGATAGTTTAATTTTGTACAAATAAACGTTCTAAATGATATTTTTTTATACAAATAAACATTCTAATTATTTAAAAATTTCTATTTTATTAGCCCTTCCAAAAAACCAAATATAATAACTTGCGCCTGTACCGTATTACGCGTGGAGGAACGAGCGGACCAGTGAGCGGTCGCTCTTGTTATAACATAGCACCACATAATGTTCAGTTAAAACAGATGTGTTGATATTAGGAAGTAGAACAAAATCTGATCGCCTTTAACAGTTTTATTATAAATAAATTCCGTTCGTTTGGTTAATGTTTTCGGCACAGGCCTATTGATTGGACGTGGAATTGGCTCTTGCTCTCTTATAACTTAAATTATTACAAATAACGCCAAATAGTCTTACAAAAATCAACAAAGTATTTCTTTTACTGAAAATAACTGATGTACCGTACCTATTGCACATCCATATAGGATAATATGTGGGACACAATTCTCTCAGTGATGACTTACCTTTGTCTTGGATTGTCAATATCAGCAGCTATCCCGACATTTGTAATCTTCGTATCTGTGAGGTAAGTCTTTAAAAGCACATTGTCACAAAAAAACCTAAAAAAAACAAAAAAAAAAAACAAAACAAAACTCTAATAATAAGAGTGGATTTATGGATGGGCAAGCGGGCTAATAAAGTTGGGTGGCCAGGCCATTAAATTAGCTTTAGACTGGGTGGAAAACTTCAAGGCTTAGTGGTTTTTCCACCATAAATACAT